TGCACATAGCTATCCAGTTGTCCTTGGCACCATTAGTTGAAAAATCTGTTCTTTCCCAATTGAGTGGCATAGCACACTATAATTTAAAGCATTGAAATACTAAATATGTGTTTTATTTCTTTGTTAAAAAATTATATATTTTTTTGAAATTGATATTACCCACTATTGATAAAAATTACCTGTAATTTGAAAAGTGTATGCCTTCTTATATAACTTATAATACAAGCGACGTAGGGACATGGCCCTACTTCTTTTAAGTTTGGATCAGCTTTCAACACTGTGAATTATCTCCAAGAGTGAGGCTTTTTGCTGGTGTTACTTTTTCCAAGAAACCTTCGTTATTTTGGTCACAACCACTTTCCTGGTTAGCTTTTTGTAGGTTCCCCTGGCTACACATTTACAGTATTGCAAGTGGTAGGAATGTCAATATTCCCAAACTCACAGTTTTCTTCTAAAATTCCATTTATGTTCAATTAATGTTTATATTCTAGCCTTATCAATTTTTCTTTGCTTTTTTTTTTGCCAATTCCCTTTTTCTTTTTCTTTTTTTAATATATATATACATAATTTTTTTTTTTTTGTAGGACTGGGGTGTAAGGCAGAGGTGCAGTGAGTGAGAGGATTCATCAGAGAAAAAGCAGAGAGCAGAACAGGCAGATCTACTGAAATACACTGCTGAGGGAAACAATGGGCGAGACGAGAGAGATCTGCACCATATGTGGGTTAACTCCCTGGCTGGGGACTGAACTCAGGCCTTAGTGGTTATTATGCTGAGACTTAACCCCTAGGCCACCAGGAAGGCCCACCTTTTTTGATTATTTCTGTAAAATATCATGTGGGTTTTATCACTGGTGAAAAGGCAATACAATATACACACTTTACTGTCCATGCAAGAATTGAAAACAGATGTACAGTGACCAATCACTTACAGACTTTGCAAGAAGTAATGTGATTGATCACTAACCATGATGTGCATCTGTTATTTATCTAGTAATTTGCGTAGAGATAACAGCAAAATCTGTACTTTGTACAGTTACTCAGTTAACATACTGTGATAAATGAAACTTGAATTGTACTGCTGGGAGACTGATGTTATTTAACCAAATAGTGGTAATGAAAATTTGTTCGTTTCAGAATTGTGGAAAGCAAGGGTTGCTTGTTTTTAATAGAATTATTTTTTTTTAAGATTTATTTATTTTATGTATACAAGAATCGGGGTACAGGCTAGAGCTGTGGGGCGTGAGAGGATTTACCAGAGACAGAGTAGGGAACAGAACTGGCAGACTGACTGAAATACGCTGCTGAGGGGGGGCAGCGGGTGAGACAGGAGAGATCTGCTGTGCCATGTGGGTATCTCCCTGGCGGGGGATCGAACTTGTGCTGCAGTGGCTGCAGATAGCTTCATAGGTTGTGCCTTAACCCCTTGCACCACCAGGGAGGCCCAGAATTTATTTAATTGTACATTTTATATAATTTGACATTTTAAAATGCCTGTATGCAACTATTTGCTCACGAAGTTTTCTTAATATTTAGCAACTGGCTCTCATGAGCCAATATGAACTGGCTCCAGGCCATCACTACTTTCAGCTCATACATTCCTTTATTCTCTGAATCCTCTTCCTTCAGCCAAAACACATGTACACATACATATAAATACATTTAAAAAAACAAAGAAATCACATTTTCTTCTATTTTCCTGTAGAGTTTGGATCAGAGTTAGAGCTCTGAGGGAAATTCACACTACATGAGAACACACAAATATATTCACATCATTCACTCACATGCACAACTGGGGTATAATACACCCAAATAAAATAAACCTTGTGAGATATCAGGCTATAATGGATGCTGACTATTTGGCAGGTCTACTCTGTGCTCCAAAATCTTTTTTGCTTTATATTTATTTATTTTTTTTAAATTTTTTTTTAATAGAGGCATGTTTTATTTATTTATTTGTTTGTTTGTTTTGTTTATACAAGTACTGGGTATAGTCAGAAGCGCAGGAGGGTGAGAGAATTCACCAGAGCCAGAGCGGGGAGCAGAGCAGGCAGAAGGACCGAAGTCCACTGCTGAGGGGAGCAGCGGGCGGCAGGAGAGGTCTGCGAGCCATGTGGGACCCTCCTCCGGTGGCCGGGGAGCAGCCGGGGATCGAACCGGCGCCGCGGAGACTGCGGTCAGCTTCGCAACCCAGCGCTCAACCGCTGCGCCACCGGGGAGGCCCTATATTTATTTTTTTTAAAGATTTATTTATACAAGAACTGGGGTATAGGCCAGAGGCACAGCAGGGTGAGAAAATTCACCAGAGACAGAGAAGGGAGCAGAACAGGCAGACGGACCGAAAGCACTGCTGAGGGGAACAGCAGGCAAGACAGGAGAGGTTTGCGGGGCCATGTGGGTATCTCCCTGGCAGGCCATGAATCGAAGCCATGCTGCAGAGGCTGCAACTTCATAGCACTGCACTCAATCCGCTGTGTCACCGGGGAGGCCCCTTTTTTGCTTTTTAGATTTTGAGAGAGTATGTATACACTGGAAATAAGAAAGGCTATAAGGAAGCTGTTAACTCTTTTTTAGAGCTATAAAGAGGGAGACAGGGAACTGAAGTTAAAAAAATGAGAAAAGGGGGGCGGTGTAAGGGGTTGAGGCACAGTACTGTGAATCTGTCTGCAGCCACTGCAGCACGGGTTTGATCCCCGTCCAAGGAGCTGACCCACATGGCACAGCAGACCTTTCCGTCTCACCCGCTGCTCCCCTCAGCAGTGTATTTCAGTCTTCCTGTTCTGTTCCCCACTCTTTCTCTGGTGAATCCTCTCACCTCCCGCACCTCTGGTCTGTACCCCAGTTCTTGTATGCATAAATAAATAAATCTTAAAAAAATGAGAAAAGGCAAGGGGAGATAATTATTTTTAACATAGTGCCTGCCATGGACCTGACATTTTCCTGACAACCCTTACAAACACATATTATACAGATGAGAAAAACAAGACTCAGAGAATAAGTGACTTCCTTTGGTGAAACAGCCTGAAACTGGAAGAGCTGTGTATTAAACTTGGATTGGCTAATTCCAAAGCACAGGTTCTTTCCATCTCACTGTATTATCTCTGTGCATGGCCAGTGTAGGGTAAATGATTGTCAGGCTTTTCTGCCCTCCCACCATTAAGATTAATGATGGATCCCTGCGGTCCTGAATGCATGCTTGATGGCGGGCACCTGGAGTGGGGTGTGGGCATACTTGGGTGGGTATACTTGGGCTGAGAGACTGGGCTCATAAGAGCAGCATCACAGAACGAGAGCAGAACCAGGAGAGCAGAGAGAACGAAACCAGCAGAGAGAAAGAAAAGTAGAAGAGAGAGAATGAGACCACAAGAGAATGCTGGAGAGCCCAGGAAGAGTGAAGATTCACCGGGGGCTGGGAGGCCTGCCAGCCTCCTGGCACCCCTGCCTGCCATGTACCTGGTAAAGATCCCAATAAAAGCCTGAAAAAGCCACCGAGGGCTCCAGAACTTGCCTCCTTCACCCCTTGCTCGGGTCATAGAGAACCTGCTCTGTGCCTTCCTGCTGCTACAGCCAGTATTATGGAATGGGCTTATGAGCTAAAAACAACCTGACTAAACCGGACACCCTGAGGTAAGGTCCAGAGATTGAGCTGTCTAGATGATTTTCCTGTTGAGTCCAGTTTATGTTTACATGATTAGAACCCAGATGTCCAATGTCTAATTGGGTCTTTCTGTTGTACCACACAAGCCATACTGACTCATGTAATTCTTATAAAAAACATACTACATTTCCACTATCAAATGTTTCCTAATACTTTTCTTCTGGGATCGGACAATGGCAGCGTGAGGTAATTATGGATAAAACATTAATGATAATTACACTTGTGAAAATACTCTTGTGTTATTCAGTCAAATTTAACTTAAATGAAGGCATTTCACTCACATTATAAATGTTCTGAGTAGTTTTTCCTGTGGTTGCTTCACATTCTCACTCAGGGTATGGGAGGAGGTGTGATGATGTTGATGTAACAAGGGAATTTGTAATTTGACCTGGGCTGGTATCTCATCTCTGCCTCTACCTATCTGAATGTCAGGTTTCGAATCTGCAGTGTATTGAAACAGCACTCATTATTTTTTTTCCCTCACAAACCTGCTCCCTTCCCCGCCTGATAACACAGTCTACCAAGCTCCCCAAGCAGAAACCCAAGTGTCACCTTCGCCTGCACCCTCTTTTTCATATGCCGATCTAGTCACAAGTTTGAGGATTTTTACCACCTAAAATCTCTGTTTTCCTTATTCTACCCTAATTCCAGTCACCAGCACTTTCACCTGCATTTTATAACAGACACTTAAAACTGGCTTCTGTCTCCACATTTGTCCTCTCTAATCTATCCTCTTTAAAAATAAAAGATTTATTTATGCATAGAACAACTGAGGTGTAGGCCAGAGGTGTGGGTGGTGAGAGGATTCACCAGAGACAGATTGGGGAGCAGAACAGGTGGATCTACTGAAATACACTGCAAAGGGGAGCAGCGGGCGAGAAAGGAGAGGTCTGCTGCGCCATGTGGTTTAGCTTCCTGGCTGGGGATCCACCTCTGGCCGTAGAGATGATAGTATTGATAGTATAGATAGGTCACCAGTGAGGCCCCTAATTTATTCTTTTGTAATGACATAATTGAGGGCCTCTCTGATGGCGCAAGGGTTTAAGCACTGTACTATGAGGTGGTCCGCAGCCTCTGCAGCACGAGTTTGGCCAGCCAGGGAGCAGCACACATGGCGCAGTGGACTTCTCCTGTCTAGCCTGCTGCTCCCCTCAGCAAGTGTATTTCAGTCAGCCTATTCTGTTCCCGCTCTATCTCCGGTGAATCCTCTCACCCCCTGCATCTCTGGCCTGTACCCCAGCTCTTGTATACATAAATAAATAAATCTTTAAAAAAAAATAAATGACACAACTGACCGACAAACTCCGAAAAGTCCCCAATTTCTTTTTAAGTTTGTGTGACTTACCTGACTTCTGCCTCTTCTAGGGCTCACCTGTTTGGTAACAGACTGTGTTTGGATCCTGGAAATGATTGGAGACTGTAGAGGGCTTGTTAGAGACCATAGCTGGCAGTAACAGGCCAGGACCAGTTCTGTGCTGCAAAGTAATCATCTTTGGTAGGCTCTGAAAGATAACAGGAAGGAGCTAAAAAGTCACTGAGTAGATGAGATGCAGGCTAAGTCACAGTGTGACATTTCAGTTTAACATTCCATAAGGGATACCCTGTGGTAAGATTGGTTGTGGGGACACAGGGATGTATCAAACACTGAACCTGAACAAATTTTATTATTTTTAAATTAAATTTGTTAGTCATTTATGTGTCTATATAACTTTGGGGTTACATTTTTACTTCTCCACATGTCATGTTTAAGGCACTGGCATGGGAGGTTTGATGGAAGGTGAGTGAAACAAATTTTTTTTTTAAAGATTATGCATATAAGATATGGGGTGCAGGCCAGAGGTGCAGGGAGTGAGAGGATTCACGAGAGAGAGTGGGGAGCAAAACAGGGGGATTGACAGAAATACACTGCTGAGGGGAGCAGCAGGTGAGACAGGAGAGGTCTGCTTTGGCATGTGGGTCACCTCCCTGGCCGGGGATCAAACTGGTACTGTAGTAGCTTCTGGATTGCTTCATGGTGCTGACCCTTAAACCCTTGTGCCACCAGTAAGGCCAACAAATAACAAATTTTACAGAGCAATGAAAATTTTGTTTGGGTGTTAGACCTTGAACTTGAAAAAATATTCTTAGAATACTGCTTTTTTTTTAAGATTTATTTTTATTTATTTATGCATACAAGAACTGGGGTTTAGGCCAGAGATGCAGAGGATACGAGGATTCACCAGAGACAGAGTGGGAAGCAGAATGGGAAGATCTACTACTGAAATACACTGCTGAGGGGAGCAGCAGGTGAGACAGGAGAGGTCTGCTGTGTCATGTGGGTCAGCTCCCTGGCCATCAGCAGCAGTGGCTTGAGCCACCAGGGAGGCCTTGAATGCTGGTTTTCTACAGGATGTATTTATAGTCTGTTACTAAATAGGAACATTTTTAAGGGATGAAAGTGAAAATTGGGGTCTACCAGGTTAGAACCAAGGAGATATTTTAGAGTCATTGGATAGAACTGGAAATCAATGAGAAATTGAGAGTAGGGTAACCAAATCAATTGACTTCAGGCCAGGGTAGATCAGGGTAGATCAGTGAAAGAGATTTACAGCAGAGAAGAGGAAAACAGGTGAGAGACATTTCAGAAGGAAAGCGCAAACTGGGTGGGGAGAGTCAATGATGGAGTAAAATTGTAGAAGATAAAAAGATTAGAGGATCGAGGAGATGGTGGTGATGATAAAGGTAACCTCCTTCAACAAAAGAATCTGAATAGAAGGGGAGAAAATGTGAAGCAAGAGGAAACTTGTCCTGGGAACAAATGAATCATCTTCATGTAGTAGCTACACCCTGGGTATCATGATTATTCATAAACAAATGCAAATTTACTGCAGTCGTTTTGAACTAGGCTTGGAAAGCACAGAGCTAATGTTAGGTTGCCAAACTGATCTTATTAAAAGTACCCATTTCTCTAGATTGAAAATTTTTAGCAGCACTAACTTATTCTGACACCACTCTTTGAATGTTGCAGAAAGGCCTGTCAGGGCATCAGTTGGGACACTGAAAGAATCTTGATCTACTTCCAACTTTTCCTGAGGTTGGATATAATTCACATGTAAAATGGTGGTAGTACAGTACTTAATTCATAGAGTTGTTGTGTTAATGAATCATAGCTTCCCTCTGAGCCCATTTCTCTTGTTATAAAAAGGGGATAGTGATTTTTTTTGTAATGTGACTCAGAAGGAGGGCGTGAAGGCACACTCAAGATTGTATAGGAACAGCTTTCATTGATTGGAAGAGAGCTGTTAGGTTATATTTTCTCTAAAGTGGCTGCTCAATTATTATTTGAAAGTTCCCAGAGACCTTATATAATTTTCTCATTAAGATGTATTATTAGGACATAACCTAAGGTAAGGTCAGACTGCCTTATAATTTGTTTTAGATAGAAAAATACACTGGTTCTATGCTGATATGCAACGGAATGTCATAAGATTCAGTGTATTAGGCTCTAATAATTTTTTTAGTGGAGGGTTATTACATAAATTCATTAGGGAGATTTTACCTAGATCAAGGATACTGAAGAATGATACATCCGTTTTTTGATAGGAACACATCTCTCTCTCTCTCTCTCTCTCTCTCTCACACACACACACACACACACACACACACACACACACACACACACACACACACACACACACGGGGGTGGGGGGGGTGAAGACAAGGGCACAGATGAGAACAATCTTGAAACCAGGAAAGACTGTGGGTGTTTTGGAACCAATAGTTGTAACTAACATTGAGTATCTTCTATGGGCCAATCCTTTACATAAATTATCTAGTCTTCACAACAATCAGCAAGGTAGGCATTAGAAAAACGAGTTTCAGAACTATTATATAACTAGCCCAGAGTCATAAACAGAACTGGAATTGGTAATATCAGGATCTGTCTGTCACCAACATCCCTGCTCATTCTGTACCACCCTGTAATAAAACAATGTATTTGGAAAATTTTGGGACCAGAGGATTTGTAAAAACGTCCTTCTTTCCCTGTTTCTTCTGATAGTCTTCTTGTTTCTTTTGTTTTTGGTTCTGATGTTTGCACCCTGGAGTTTGAGTGGGATCAAATGGGGGGGTATCTTGTAAACAGAATGATTCCACAGTGTCCACGATATAACAATTTCCTTTCTTCTGAGCCTTACCTGGGGTTTAGCAAGCGTGCGGAGATGCAAGGTAAGAGAGCAGAGGAGGGGTAGGTCAGAAAAAATGGATGGTTCTTTTCTTACCTTGAAGTTGTTTATGCATTTCAGGACAACTCGTGGACCATTCTCTCCTCTTGCTCGGCTTTATTCTTTTTCTCTATTTTGGAGGAGACTTAGGGGTTAAGTGTTTGGTATCTGTTGGCAATTTCTATAATGATCAGCGCAATGCATACAGAAAAAGTTAAGGTCAAAGACAATCCCTCCATCTGTTCTGGAAGAGAAGTGCGTTTGTGTGCGTGTGCAAACGGTTTGTTCTGGGTCACCCTTCTTTCACCCAGACACACTGAGGGGAGCAGAAGAGACCCTCTCTAGAAACACGAGAGATGAAAAAGCGCATTCCTTCACACTCCTACTCTCAGGTGAGGGCCAGAGTGAAAGGAACCTTCACGTACTTTCTGACGAGAAGGAAAAGGCGCTGAGGCGCGCGGGACCTGAGGACGGCGGGTCGGGAGAACCCGCCCGCGCCGGTGCGGATCGAGGTGCTTTCGGCTCCCGAGAGGCGCCCTCGGGGGCGGGCGGGGGGCCGCGGGCGCGCGCGCGGGGCGGCCATCCCCAGGCCGCGCTCCCGCCCGTTCCCTGCCGCTCGTGCCCGGGCGGCCGCCGCAGTCCCCTCGCCGTATCCGGGCGTGGGGTCCAGGGGGCGCTGTGGCTCAGCGGCGCCGGCGGCAGGAGCGGCCACGGCGACGCTGGAGGCTTCGCGGAGGATCCCCTCCTGCAGCACCTCGGTCGTCCCGCCGCAGCCTCGCGCCCCCCGCCCGGCTCCGCGGCGCTCCTCCGGGATCCGCGTGGCTGCCGCGGCCCGGGAGCCCGATGCGGCTCGGCGGGCGCTGGGCCTCAGCAGCAGCGGCGACCACAGCCTCTTCAGGAGTGGGAGGCTTCGCGGCCGCGCCGGTGCCCTCCGGAGGAGGCTGTCGGCTCAGGGACGACCCCCCTGGTCATGCTGAGGCGGCGGCAGCCGCAGCGCGAGGTGAGTGCGGCGCGGCTGGGTCCCGGGCTCGCCGGCCTCCGGCCACCCGGGAGGGCCCGGGCGGCAGCGCTGGGGCCGGGCGGACCGGGCGTCCTGCGCTTGGCCGCCTGCCCCACCCGGGGCTCGGGGGCCTCAGCTCTCGCCCCCCGCGTCCTCGGGGAGGCTGGAGGCGCGTGGGACGCTACTAGGCCCGCGCCGCCGAGAAGCCCTCGGCCCGGCCTCGGTTCCGGTGCGGCCCGGTGTGTGGAGCTGGGGCTGCTGGGGACACGGGCACCCTTGAGGTGGCCCCGGGTCGGGGCCCAGCGCAGCCTCTTACCGCCGGCCTTGCGCGTACATTCCGGAGGGAGGCGAAGGACGCCTGTTTGCAAACAGCCTCGGCTTCTCCGCGCCCCAAAGAGAGTCCCGCAGAGTCCCGGGGGGAGGGGCGGGAGGGCTGGGTGAGAATTGGAGTGCAGAAATTGAGGGGCCCTGAGAACCCCTCGCGCTCCCCGAGTGCCATTCGCCTATCAGACTGGGTTGAGAACACCCGTTTGCGTCTTATTTTAGCTGAAATTTCATCACCTGCGGGTAACTCATCCCTGCCTCCTCCTATTACGTTTTGTCTCCAAGCGTGGTCTGCCCTGAAGAAAGCCCCATTCTGCATTTGCGATGTTAAGTTTACTAGATTAATACAATTATAAAAAGATTCCCCCCCCCACCAGCAAAGATCTGTAACGCCTTCTCCCTCAAGAGAGTAAACATTTTAATGCTGAGTCCTCGCTACAAAAAATGTTCCACCTAAATAGATCCAGAGACTGCATGACAAGAGGATTTTAAAAAGTCATGCTAACTGTCCTAATAACAGATACCTGATGGAAATAGGACATATTCGAAAATTTAGAAGTTAAATGATGTGTTTTGATATTCATGTAAAAGTTAGTGATTACAGTTTGATACCATAAGTCAGATGTTTGGGTCGTTAGGGTTCTTGATAAATGTAGTTATAGGTTTTGTTTTCCTGTTATGTATGTGAAGGTTGTAGGATTAGTATTTGTAAAACTTTATAATCATCAAAAAATGAATATGTTTATTGTTGATATATGGGATAAAAAGGTACTGGTATAGAAAGATTTCAAAACTGGATAAGAGTCACTGTAATCTCATAGTACATTTTCATGGACATTTAAAGTTTAAAATGACTTGCACTGTTGGTGATTTTAAAATCATTATTTCTGTATATTAGGTGTAAAGTTAACTGTTCTGTTGTACTGTTTAACATCCAGTCTTTTGTATAAGACCTATATAGAGCTTTCACTAAACTACATTGCAATCACAGTAATGCAATGATTACTAAACTTAGTAGTACATTACTAAATGTAATCAATTAGAACAGAATAATATGGATAACTACCTAAAAGACCCTGAACTTACCTTTTCAACAAGGGAAAACTCCTGAGGTCTAGGGAGATTTGGTGTAATAAATGTTTTTGAGAACCCATTCTGTTAGAGGTGGTATCCTTATATTGTTTTGTGAGATTTTGCTTAAATATTTGTGACTGTGAAAAATTGGCTTGATTAAAAAAATATTTTTGGTGCATTAACTTAGGTTTCAAAAAGTCTAACTCAGTTCTCAGTATATACCTGAAAGCTACCAATATGATTATCAGCTGAAACTGATTATTTAAAATAGGTAGATTTCTGGCCCCTTGAATTAGAATTTCTGGGGATGATGGCAGCAGACTGAGGATCTTCATTTTTATCAAGCTCCCGAAATTTTACTCCTACTAGAGTTTGAAAATCACTCATATAGTAAGTTTGCTAAGTTGAATGAAAAGTGCCTGTTTTGTAGCAAAACTATCAATTGTAAGTGGCAATACAGTCATTTCTCATAGTCACAGATAATGGTGTTACAATCTTAGAAGGAAAAGTACTGAAATTTTCAGGGACAAGCCCATTCAACGTGGTAGTTGTGGAGTTGTTAAGGACACCTGGTTACTTACCTTGTTGCTCTCCTTGAACCTCAGTGTCATTGTCTGTAAAATGCAGATAGTTATTTACCTTGCGAAGCTTTTAGGGTAAATGCATCTGAGAAAAATTTGTAATCTGTAAAAGACCTTTATACATTTTTAGTGGATAATATTAAATTTCCTGCCTTTGGTATTCTGGGAAACACAAAATGACCTAGGCCTCTGTTAGCAACTAGCTAATTGTGGAAGCAGGGCATGTTTAATTAACTGTTAGAAGGCAGGGTCAGACAAGTGTTGTTAATTGAGTGGAACATGCTAGATCTCCCTTTAAGGCTTCTATGTTTAATCCAATGGCTTGCCCTTTAAAAATATTAAGTTTTTATATGACTATTCCTTTTTCTTCTAATTCCTGATTCCGTATTTTATTCTTTAAGGAGATAACTGTATACGTTGCACTGTGATAGTTTTATATTAACTTCTTTAGAAAGATAGAAATGAGTGGAGATGATCCCATTGCTTCCACTGTTGCTAAGCTAGCACTGCTCATTCCACTAAGTAAACTTTTATTTGGTACCTGTTAATGTGCTGGCCACAGACTATTTGCAAGGCACAAACCTTGTTTGAATGATAATTACTTGGATTTTAACTTAAATTCTTATGTTCCTAAAGGCATTGTTTGTATGTGGTATTTTATGGTTGTAAATTACATGATGTGCAGAGTATGGAATAATAAATAAAATTTATTGAGTATCGTAAACTATAAAGCATTCTACTAACTACATGGTTAAAATACTGATGATTTGTTTTGACAGAATTGTCAGAATCAGTAGCTCATTTACAGAATTCAACTACTTGAAAAAGAACGGTATAATGTTTCATATCTATGAAATACTTTTTGAGAGCCTTTAATAAAATAAGGTAAAGATGAGGAAACCTGTGTACACATTGAATTCATTGTGCAAGGGAAAAGAAGAACTTAATGTTGATGGTACTTGGGGCATTTTATATTATAGAACTATATTTAAAATCTTAGCTTTTTCCCCTGAAATTTGACTTTTAGCTTAAAATCCTTACATTTGCTTATTCAAACTTAAAAAAATGCTTTTGTGACTCTAGGCTTTTGACTAAATGGTTTCTTTATTTGAAAATTCTATAATGATTTATTATCCCCTTTTTTCTGATTGTTTATGATGATATATCCTTAAGGATATGTGACTTAATATCTGTGATGTAGATTCTGTTGCATTTTTTTAAATATAGAAGTATTGATAGTAAATCCATGCCCTTGATTGAAAAAAATTAATTATAAACTTAATGAAATTGTAAACTTAAATGCATATTTATTGCCTTGTGAGGGAAGACCTCTTGGGAAGATCTAAGGAGATGCTAAAATGAATCTAGAATTTTTCGTAAGTTGGAGAAATTTTGGATATATTGGATATCAGGCACATTGAGTGTGGTATGGCATAGACAACTAAGTTTGGCTGTGTTCAATCCTGCCTTCTATTAGTATGAAATTTTAACTGTAGAGAGGCTGTAAATTGTGAAGAGTACATACATTATTTCAGTTTAGAGTATTAGTAAGGCTCTTTTTAAAAAAAAAAAAAATTTGCAACTGGGGTACAGGCCAGAGGTGTGGGGGTGAGAGGATTCACCAGAGACAGAGTGTGGAACAGAACAGGCAGATTGACTGAAATACACTGCTGAGGAGAGCAGCGGGCAGGTCAGGAGATGTCTGCTCCACCATGTGGGTAGTTCCCTGGCTGGTTGGGGATCGAACTCATGCTGCAGTGGCTGCGGATAGCTTCATAGGTTGTGTTTTAACCCTTTGGGCCATCAGGGAGGCCCAGGCTCCTTTTTTAAGAAAAAAAGAAATAACAGCTTTATTGAAATAAAATACACATACCATACATTGTACCCATTTAAAGTATACAATTCAGTGGGTGTTAGTATATTCAGAGTTATGGGAACATTACCCTAATTTTAAACATTTTTATCTCCAAAATGAAACCTATACCCATTAGCTGACAGTCATTCCCCATTGCCCCACTGTCTTCCTACCTCTAGGCAACTATTAATGTACTTTCTGCTTCTATGGATTTGTGTATCTAGTCTGGATAGCTCATATAAATGGAATCAACATGACTGATTTCTTTTACTTTTCCTAATGCTTCCAGGGTTCTTCCATGTTGTAGCATGTATCAGTACTTCATTTTTTTTTTTACTGCCAAATAATATTCCATTGTGTGAATGTACTACATTTTATTCATCAGTTTGGGTTGTTTTGGCTGTGTCGAATAATGTTGCTATGAACATTGCCTGCACAACTGTTTTCCTTTTTGGGTGGGTACCTAGGAGTAGAATTGCCTGGGTCAAATGGTAACTCTT